GAGAGGCGCCACCGCCGCAAAGTCCCCATTTGATCTGATAAACCTTTCGGCGGCAGCGGCGGTGATTCGACGGCGAAGCGGTGGTCAGCGGTGAGGATTCCGCCTAGGGTGAGTCGTCCCAAAGTCGGAACTTCGAACTTCGGAAGCCGGCAAGCGCCGAACAACCTTAGGGTGAGGGTGAGGCAGGCTCGAGAGGAGGAAGAGGAAGCAAGCCGCCCGTTAATGACGGGCCCTACTCATGAGCCGCTTCGGCAACTACCGGGTGAGGCCGGCTCCCTCCGCTCTGGTGTGATGGGTGTGTCTGGCGAGACCGTGACCGCCCGGCCGGCGGCGGCGTGCGGTGGGCGATCCACCAGGGCTGGTAGATCCGACGCCCGTGGCTGTCGCGCTTGGTCCTGCCTTCACCTCGAAAGCGAAGCTAGCGGAGGCGGCCCGAGACCCACTGCCAGCACCACCGGGAGCGCGACCAGTGCCGCCGGAGCAGCGTCCGAGCACCGAGCCACCTGCTCCGCCCGCCGCTGCCCACGGGAGCGGCGCCCCAGAGAAGAAAGACGACCAGCGGCCGGGCGCCACGGACCTCGCAGCCGACGCTACGGGTGAGCAGCGGCGGCGAGCCATTGCCGCCCGCCCACAAGCGCGCCGCCGACCAGCGCCTTAGAAGAAGGCCGCGCCCGCACCTTAGAGCCGCGGACGGGAGGCAGCCCCAGCGCCACAGAAGCAGCCTCTCCTGCGCCCAAACTCGAGTCGTGGCCCCCTCCCCTTTGCTTGCGCACACCCATTGAAAAAGCCGCGCCAAGCCCGATGTGAGCGACGACGCCCTATGCGTTTGAGACGAGGAGATAAGGATAAGGGGCACTATGGTCATTTGGCCTTTGTTTTTTAGATTTATAATTTTTTTAATTCGTTTAATCCATGTTCATCTGACGGACGTCAGAAACAAGGGCAAACGGACCGTTCAGTTCAAAATAACAGGGTAAAAACACAAAGTTGAAAAAGAAAGGGTAAAATCACAATTAGCTTAATGGACAGGGGTAAGAACACCATTTTCCCTATTATAAAAATATATTTCATAATGAATCCAATGGTATTTGTTTGATATTATAAATATTAATATTTTTTTATCTATAATTGATCAAACTTAAGATACTAAAATATGATACTGTACTAGAATTATATTCTTTCTTGACTGAGGATTGGTTCCACTTCATGTAGATCGGGTTTTCACTCATACTATAAGCCTACAATAGAGAAAGAAGTCAATGTTCGTCGTCTAAGGCCGTGTTTAGTTGGCGATTTTTTTTTGAAAATGGTACTGTAGTAATTTCGTTGTTATTTGGTAATTAGTGTCCAATCATAATCTAATTAGGTTTAAAAGATTCGTCTCGTGAATTTCGTCTAAACTGTGTAATTAGTTTTATTTTTTTATTTATATTTAATGCTTTATGCATGTGTCAAAAGATTTGATGTGACGAAAAATCTTAAAAAATTTTACAAAATTTTAGAAACTAAATAGACACTAACGCTACAAGCTAGAGAAATTCAAACACGCTACCATTCGTCCTCGCGGCGCCGCACGTACGGTTCGCCGTCTGGTTTCCTCCGTCCTTGAATGGCAATGGCATGCATGCCACTCGCCGTACGTCCAGGCCTTCAGCACGCACGCACGTGCGTGGGAAACGATAAGACCACGCCAGGGCGCGCGGCGCAGTCCGGCCGGTCCTCCTGGAATCATTGGATGCCATTCACGTCTTCATTCGGATCCGTTCCTCCGGTTAGGTGCATGATTGAATTGAACTGTGTTTAGTTCCACTTTATTTTGCTAAATTTTTTAAGATTCTTCGTTACATTGAATTTTTAACGCATGCATAAACATTAAATATAAATAAAAAATAAAACTAACTATACAGTTTAGATAAAATTCACGAGATGAATCTTTTAAGCTAATTAGACTATGATTGAACACTAATTGTCAAATAACAACGAAAAACGCTACAGTTGTATTTTGCAAAAAAAAATCGCATCTAAACCGGGCCTACAGATGAGATCGATCGTCTGCCCAGTGCCCAGGCAAGGGGCAAAACAAAGACCAAAACGGCCTTTAGCGCCTCGGAAAGGACGCTTTTTAGCCCTGTGGCGCCGCGCGCGCGAGGGGATGGATATACCACCGGGCACCGGCTGACGCGTCGCGACGACCAAGAGCCGAAGACGACGAGTCTAGCTGACGGCGAAACAGGAAATGATGACTATCGCTAGACCAGCAGGCGGTACAGCAGCCACTGATCTTCCCCACGACGACTGCTGTGGGTCGGTCGATCATGAGCGATTCAGCAGCCACTGATCTTCCCTGTCATACAGCTCGATTGCTGGTTTGTTTCTAAGCTGATAAACTCGATTAATGTTGATTTGTTGTGAGAGAAAAACACTGTATCATGATAAGAACATCCTGATAATCCGATCAGTTGCCAACACGGAGCCGCGGCCCCTTATCATCACCCGGGAACCCCTGAATGAATGATGATCTTTGAACGGCCGATAGGTCGCTCGATCAGCGTCTCCCAACTGCTTACTTGGCAGGCCGCCCCCCTAAGTTTTTCATCACCCGGGAACCCCTGAATTAATGATGATAACTTTTGCACGGCCGGCCAGGATGAATCTTTTAAACAATTGGTCAGCGTTTACCAAATAAAACGAAAATCTTCTTTATCGGCTCTGCTTGAAATTTTTTTCAATCTAAACAAACAAGGCCGTAGTGTAGAAATGATATCTTATTAGAATTAGAACCACTCATCATTGCATCGAGACAGGCACCCGCGCCGCGCACGAAGCGGGCAGAAATTTTCTTTTGGCAAAATGGCGAAATCTCCGGCGCGACTCTGCCACCCGACGTCGTGATGATACGAGTAATCTAGTGAGTGAGCACAGATCGCTATTATGCCCGGACAAAACTAATCGACAGCTCTTCCATGTGCCGTGTCACGCAGAGGAGACGAGTACTCTAGAAGTGTTGCTTTAGCAGGAGTACAATGATTTGTCATCGAATGTTGTAAAAAAAAAGGATTTGTCATCGAAGATTATTATCCCAAGTAGTAGGCATACGGAGTATTCTGCAAAGGGCATTGGATCTTTTGTCTACTCTACCAACAGCCTTTTCATTACTGAATAGGACCATAATCGGAGTAGTTGTTCTCGTGAAGAGTTTTTCTTTTTTATTTTAAAAAAGAAAGACAACAGTTTACTTATTTGCTTGTTGTACTGGAAGGCGATGAATGCTTACGTACACACGCCACCGCAGGAGCACCATATACTCATAAGGGCCTCTTTGGTTTACACGAGCTCCTAAAATTCCTGTCACATCGAATGTTTGACACATGCATGGAGTATTAAATATAGACTAATTATAAAATTAATTGCACAATTTGCGACTAATTTACAAGATGAATCTTTTAAGCCTAATTAGTTCATGATTTGACAGCGTGGTGCTACAGTAAACGTGTGCTAATGACGGATTAATTAGTCTTAAAAATTCATCTCGTAAATTAACCTCCATCTATGTAATTGGTTTTGTAATTAATCTATATTTAATGCTCCTTATTAGTATCTAAATATTCGATGTGACATAAATTTTAGAAGCGACTAAAAATCAAACACCCTAACTCACACGCGTGTTTGATGTTTTCACAGCTTGTCAAAACTTGTCAGAGAATATCTGGCTGATGTTTGGATAGCTTCCATACAGTAGTATGTCACAGCTCACAAGTTGGCTTGTTGTGATGATCCATTTTAATATTAAGAGTGTACCTGACATTAATGAAGAAACATCTCTGCGTTTATGATAATTTAAGTTTAGACTATTCGAATGCAAAAAAAAAACATATTAGACTATTTCCAACAAAAACACCTAAAATATCAGACTCATTCGTCCTTTGGGTAGCGTTAGAAGCGAAAGGTTCAATACCTATTCGGTATCTTCTCCAACAACAAGACCCAAAAGAGAATCATTTCTGTAAATGGGTTTTCAGGAGAGATAATGATCATATTTAGGTTGTGCCTCTCAGGCAACCCAAAATATATCTCCCATATAGATACTCTGTTGGAGGCTGATTTTAGTCTTTTGCTACCCATTTTAAATTTGAGTGTCCATATAGGTTCCTGATTGGAAACAGTCTAAAAACATAGTTGTTCTAAACAACCTAGCTTATAGTTCAATTTATACTTTATTTCTATCTATTCAATTACACTTTAAAAGGCATTGGCAGACCCCTCTAGCCATTGTCTAGTGTTATCTTAAATGCTAAACGGTAAATAGCTCATCACTTGTCGTTTAGCTAATATTCAAACTAAGCGGAGATGATCATGTTTGTAGTTGATAGTCATCCTGTTCTGTAGCACTATTTCAACAGTACCTTTTAGCAAACGAACATTGTTTTTCTTCCACAACAAATCAGCAGCATAAGCCAAATTTCAGCGAAAAGTATGACAGTAAAGAAAGCAAGCGGTCCACTTATATCAACCTATCAGTACAGTGGTAGATCGCGCAACGTAGGAGTACTTATATTATTATAGATATATAAGGGTGCGTCCAAACTTCCCTTTAGCCGAGTTTAAGATGACAGGAACAGCCATCATCTCACGGCCAACAGCCCAACACCGGACGAAAAACACGACCAGAATTCCTCTCCTTGGAGGGCTATACGACTAGTAGTACTACCAAAAAGGTCCAAACACCAGCCACGAAAACCGACTAACCGAGTGGCGCCGGGACGCAGCGAGCCCAGCCACCAGGCAAATGCGGCGAAGGCACTGAAGAAGCCATACCGCCGCTGTAGCCGTAGGCTGTCGCCACGACCATCGACCCACGCCCGCGCGCGCACTGCTGCTGTCTGTGACTCTGTGCTCTGCCACTGCCACGCCCCTGTCCTCGCCAGCCAGCAGCAGCCGCCGCCGCTAGGTGGAGAAGACAGGAGGAGGGCGGAGGGGGAATCGGGGGGTAGTGCGGCGGCATGGCGGGCGGTGGTGGAGGAGGAGGAGGGCCGGGGCCGGGGCGGGTGAAGGCGGGGAGCCGCCCGCCGTGGGTCGGGCTGGCGGCGGCGGTGTGGGTGCAGGTAGCGGCGGGGAGCGCCTACGTGTTCCCGCTCTACTCGCACGCCATCAAGGAGGCGCTCGGGTACAACCAGCAGGCGCTCACCATGCTCGGCGTCGGCAACGACGTCGGCGAGAACGTGGGGCTCGTCCCGGGGGTGCTCGCCAACCGCCTCCCGCCCTGGCTCATCCTCGTCATCGGCTCCGCATGCGCCTTCTTCGGCTTCGGCACGCTCTGGCTCGCCGTCACCAAGACCGTCGCCATGCCTTACTGGGTGGTACGCTCCCCTACCTCCCTTTGTTTCCGTCCTTTTTCCCCTATTGCGCCGATCTAGCTCCTGACACGTGTGCTTGGTTCGCATGCTATTTTGGGCTGTTTGTCATTGTTTTGCTTGATTCGACGAGTGCTCGATGTCGATGCCACGGGGAATGGCTGAACGAGCTAGTTGGGGCTTAATTCTTAGTTAGCTGTTCAACCTTCTATTTTCGAGTTTGATTAAAAACAAAATCTATTTAGTGCTTTTTTAATCTTTTTTTGCTATTAATTTCGGTAGCAAATGTAGTTTAAAGTCGTGTTCATTGAACAATTCCGTGGTGTTAGCCTGTCATTACGTTCGGGAGATATTTTATGCCTTTTTGTTTCAAGCGAGTCATTGTGTCCACACTCCAGACGTGCATGTTTTTTAATTGCATAATTGACAGTAAAACCTGCACATATTTCCTGTTTTCAAGTTGGCTGAAGCTAAATGATATGAAGGTTTTCTTTGCTGCAGTCACTTACATTTTATTAGAATGCTGGTTTTGGTCCATCATATGTTGCTTATTCATGCATGCTTTGACCAATCATTTCTGCAAGTGGAAGGAATTTGGTTTCAGTGACCGACCACAGAATAAATCCTGACACGTGTGCTTCCCTTAGATGCTATTTTGGTCCATTTGTCTCCTGCGCCCTGCTTCATGCCACGACGGATGTATGAGCTGATTCGAGGCTTGGGGCCTATATATAGTCATTTGTCCTTCAAGTGTCCAGTGTCTACTTTCCTTGATTAAAGCATTCCGGTTTCTATTTTTACCATTCTTGTTATCCTCTTTAGGTAATTTTGCGATAAAATCTAGCATCAATTGTGTTGGAGGAGCAAATTTCGTGGGCATAGCTGGTATAATTTAATGAGATAATTTATGCATTGTTGTTTCAGTTAAGTAATTCATTGTGTCCGCATGTGCATATCAATTAATTATTTAATTGTGTGATTGATGTTGATGTGGCTATATATTTTCCCTTTCCGAGGTGTCTTGAAGCTGAGTATGATATGAAAATTTTCCTTACTGCAACCCTATTGAATTCGAAGGGCGGGCCTGGTGCAAGCGGTAGAGTCTTACCGCCTGTGACCGGAAGGTCCCGGGTTCGAGTCGCGGTCTCCTCGCATTGCACAGGCGAGGGTAAGGCTTGCCACTGACACCCTTCCCCAGACCCCGCACAGAGCGGGAGCTCTTTGCACTGGGTACGCCCTTTAACCATATTGAATTCATGTTTTGGTCATAAGCTCGCTTGTTGGTGCTTTTGGCCAATCCTTTCTGCCAGTGGAAGGAATGGCCTCACTGGTGTACCTACGTAGCAAATCCGGAATTTAATTTTGTTGAATTCATCAATTCCTTATTTCTTCTGGCATGCCTGTTGCTTTGAACACTGATGGCTGCCTGTGGATGGATAGTTCTAGTGCCTTATGATTGTCGCATACACAGCCGGCCTTGTACCATTGTACTCTTGTGCTTCTTTCTCTTAATATAGTGATGAGACGCAGCTCTCCTGTGTGTTCGAGATCAATTCCTTGTGATGTATTCCCACCCCCAGTAGTTTGATTCACAGATCTGATACAACTATATGAGTGTGATCTTTATTGGTACCGTGTTTCGGTAAGATTGTAAATTGAACTTCTATTACCACAAAGATCTGAAGTTGACTTCAATTATTATGTTTTATTAGATTGTCTGCAATGCACTTTTATACTTTAGCCCAACTTGGGTCTTAGCTTACAGCTTTAGAAAAGATTAGTGAGCCTGGTAAAATTACACATTGTAATTATTCATACAAAAACTGTGGTTATTGCTGGTCTCTAACTCTGGAAGGCATACTAGAGTGTATGCCTACTGAATCATGCTACGATTGAGGAGTGTTTGTCAATAAAATAATTGAATAAGGATGGAATCTGCATTATCAGCCAAAACCAATATGTTGATGGATAATTATACATACCTAACTGGGAATTTATTGTTTATTTCTCAGAAACTATTGAAGGACTTGATGAGTTACTCTGTCTGGAGATAAAATTGTGGTTGTTAGGCTATTGCATATTGTTCTTTCTGGGGGAAAAAAGTAACCCACTCACTTTCATAAAACAACCATAATCCTGTAGAGTCACAAGGTGACCACTAGGAGCTGAAGCCATAATCCTATAATCAAATACAGATTGCATTTAACAGAAAGCTGGGAATGGTATTACACCGCTTCAGCAGTTCAGCTAATAAGCTGTGTTGTTAGCACAATTCAATTACAGTACTAGGCAGAATCCAGGCTATAGATGGTTCATGCTTTTGTTATGACTACCTCCCTTATGCACCAGTAGGTCTTTGGAATTTGGTTGATGCAGTGGCTGGAGCTTGAGCCACTATGGTTGGTTTCCATGTGTTGCACTGTGTGTCTAGGTGACTCTCCAAAGGTGCTAGTAACTAGTAAGCTCGGTAGTGGCGCTTTGGGAGGGAGCTGGTATGGTATATGGTCGGACTTCTTCCCATCACAGTGCATGCTGAGGTCATGGGTCTCACATTTTTTGCTGAGTGGTCTCCTTAGTCCTCGGTAGGCTGGCCGCCTCCTGCCCCTCCCCTCTACTTGCTCATGTGTTTGTTAGTTCGTCTGGATTTGTCTTGTGGTGTCTTGTTTCCTTAGTGAAATACATGCATGACACGTTCTCTCTCAAAAAAAAACTATGTAGGTTCTTCCTTGAAGAATTAACTGCCAAAGAAACGTTGGGTAAGGTACTATGATTTCATTTTGAATGTTGGGAGTTCCTTGTAATGATTGTGGTCTGTTGTTCATTCAAATTTCAAAAGGACCCAAAATTGGACAGTGTGAACTTTTATTCTTCCTGCTGACATATGGACTAGTAAATTAGGTGGGCAAGACACATACATGTCCTGTTGGCTGTGTCCAGTACAGAGAATAGAGCAAAAGAACTCACGAATTAATCAGAGATTCATAATGCAACACTTAATGCTCACCATATGGCCTATCATGACGATCTTTGTTTGATTTTGCCAATGAAGTTATCTCTTGACATCACAAGTACTTATCTGTTGACATTAGTTTTTGTGAAACCATGTCATTTGTTGCAACATCAGTATGCATTTTTATTTCAGATTGTTTACAAGAGTCCGCTTCTTTTGTTTCCCCTTTTTTCTTGCAGTTATGGATAGCTTTATGTATTGGCACGAACAGCAGTGCATGGTTGGGCACTGCTGCTCTTGTGACCAACATGAGGAATTTCCCTCTCAGCCGAGGCACTGTTGCTGGTCTCATCAAGGGTTATGTTGCTGTTAGTGCTGCTGTCTACACTGAAACGTTTAATGGAATGCTTGGGAATTCACCCACAAATCTTTTGCTGTTGCTTGCGTTGGGGATCCCAACAGCATGTATTGTGGTGATGTATTTTGTTAGGCCTTGCACTCCATCACTGGATGAGGACAACTCAACAGAACACAGTCATTTCATGTACACACAAATCTCAAGTGTGGTTCTCGGAATATACCTTATGGTTGCTACAATACTTGGTGATACTTTAAAACTAAGTCAGGCTGTCACCTATCTTTTGTTTGGTATAATGATACTTTTGCTCCTTGCTCCACTTGCAATACCAATGAAGATGACACTTTATCCAAACAAACAAACAAAGGAAAAGCCCAGCACCCTTGCTCCATCTTATTCAACTGATAGTCTGTCTGGTGCGGACCCAGAGAACTCACAACCACTTCTGGGCAGTGCCTCAACAACATTTGCTACAGGTACCAATGAATCTGATGACAGTACTGATTTGGATCTTCTATTGGCTGAGGGTGAGGGAGCAGTGAATTTGAAAAAGAAAAGAGGGCCAAGAAGGGGGGATGATTTCACATTCCTTGAGGCCTTAGTAAAGGCGGACTTCTGGCTACTGTTTGTTGTTTACTTTTGTGGAGTTGGCACAGGTGTCACTGTTCTCAACAACCTGGCTCAGATTGGAATGTCTGTTGGTGCTAATGACACAACTATTTTGTTGTGCCTCTTTGGCTTCTGCAACTTTGTTGGCCGTATCCTTGGTGGATCTGTCTCTGAACATTTCGTAAGGTAAGCTATATTTAACTTACTCGCAACAACTTTACCTGTACAATTTTCCTTCAATGCATCACTTATTATATTCCAGCTTATTTAATCTGAAAGCTGAAGTAGTAAAGGTTGTAAAGCTGATTGCTTCCTACAGTACTGTCATATTTGATATTACTAAACATCCAACAAGCATTACTGAACACTGCAGCTAATTCCCAATGGCATCGATCTCTAACTGTGCCTGTTACTTTGCATATGTTTTGAGGACTTAGTCATCCAGAATCGTTTGGATTTACTTTTTTATCTGGAAAATACTAGTCAATCAACCTGTGCTCCAGCATGGCTTAGAATTTTATGTTATATAATTGTTAAAAGTTTCGTGAATAAATTCAGTACGTACTACCAATCAAATTTGCTTATCTTTACTCTATATCTCTCTATTCATTTCCTAACACAATACACATAGATACTCTATAATGTCTATCAGTTACCAATTACTCTATATGTGTTTTCATATTTTACATTGCACCTCTGTGGATCTTTCATATGTATTTAGTTGAAACTTTAGTTAAGTTGTATGAGCTCTTGTTGCATTCTTTTTTTGACATCATGACTATATATTTTGGCTTTCAACATTTGATTCTATTAGTTGTTGCAAGTTTTTATCCACGTGTTAAGTTGAAACTCTCTTCTATCCATAATTTTCCTTTTTATATTTTATTGAAAAATAGATTCTAGGTCCTAGACTGTACTTTTAGTCACTATGATGGCATAAACGGTTGTTTCATCCTACACCACAACACTCAACATGTTGAATTTCCTCTTTAAAAAAACATATGTGCAGGAGTGTTTACAATTAAACTATCAGAATCGATATCCTATAATGTTTAAATAAAAATGTATACATTTATCTGGAGTAACAACTTATAAAATTTTACCTAGGCTTCCTCGCATCATATATAATTTTAAATGAATTACCTAATTGGTATGTGATTTGTTAAGGGAATGTATTTTTCACAATATTAAAATAAATATTGCATTGGTATTTGGTTTGTTAAGGAAACATATTTTTCATTGTGTTGATATGTGGTTTGTTAAGAGAATATATTTTTAACAATCGCTAAATTATTTAAATAAGGCTTTGTTTCGGAGGGCGTTTCCTAAAATGGTTTCGGCTTCTAGGGAATCTTTTGCCCTATGGTGGAGCGTTTTTTCTCTCTTCCCAAAAATAAACTAGAAGCCGATGAATCCAGAAAACTGGCTTCACTAGCTATGGTTCCTCCAGGCACTGTAGCAGGGAATCGGATGATAGAAGGCTTGCCAAACATGCCCTAAAAATATTCATCCTAATGTTTGCATATTTACTTGGTTGTGGCACATACTACCTTCTTCCCAAAAAGAATGCAATTCTAGATGCATTCTTTGTTAAAGTATCTAAAGTTCGACACCAAATAGGTATACTATAAAAATATATCTCATGACAAATCTAATGATACTTATTTGATATCATAAGTTTTAATATGTTTTGTATATAGTTAGTCAAACTTAAGATATTTTAACTTGGTACTGTGCTAGAATTTAATTCTTTTCTAGATGGTGGGAGTAACATTTATGTTTACTTTGATTTTAAGTGTGTAATGTAGAAATATATATGACGTACTTTATGGTTATTTAATTATTTTTCATAATAGCTTATATTGTTATTTAGACGTAAATTTAGTTTATTCTTTATAACGTTGGGCAATTTAGATACAAATTAAAGGGGTTACTTTATATTATACTCCCTCCGTTTCAAATTATAAGTTGCTTTGACTTTTTTGACATCGAATTTGCTATGTATCTAGGCATAACGTTGGTCCAGATACATAGCAATTTCGATGTACCTGGAATAGAGGGAGTATTTTATAATGGCAGATTTGGGGTTTTTAAGGGAAAATTTATGGTTGCTTTGCATTATCTTGCTTAATGAAAGATAAATTTAGGGTTTTGTTTTAAATTATCTTTCATAATGGTAGGGATTGGTAATTAAAATGCAAATTTAGGGATTACTTAAGTATTTTTCATTAGGTCGGGGTCGGTAATTTTTTGGAAAGAGAATAGATCCAATGGCTATCATTGGCGGTGGTGATTAGAGTATACAAAATTAAAGTCCAGATGCTTTTGTTTATTAGGAGAATTTCTGGGATTTATTCTTTTTTTTTCTAGCATGTTTTGTGGGATTTATCTTTTTTTCTAGTGTATTTCGTGAGGATTAACATGGAGACTCCATTAGAGGCCTCCAATTAGTAATATATTATTAAGATTAAGATGTCTAAAATCAAGGAGTGCCTACTTAAAAAAAAAACGGCTAAGACCTGATATTCTGCAGGTCAAGGATGCTCCCTCGTCCTTTCTGGATGATGTGCACACAAATAATCATGGTGGTAACGTTCCTGCTCTTCGCAACTGGTCTTCATAGCTTGATTTATGTTTCAACTACTCTCCTGGGGATATGCTACGGGGTCCAATTTGCTGTCATGATACCAACGGTCTCGGAGCTTTTTGGACTGAAGGACTTTGGGCTAATGTACAACTTCATGCTGTTAGTGAATCCACTGGGTGCATTCTTTTTCTCAGCTCTTCTTGCTGGCTACATCTATGACAAGGAGGCAGCAAGGCAGCACCCAGGTGTGCTGGAGCCTTCCGACTGCTATGGGCCTGATTGTTTCAGATTGACTTTCTATGTCTGTGCCCTCGTGTGTTGCTGCGGTACCCTGTTGAGTGTGCTCTTCATATCGAGGATAAAGCCGGTCTATCAGATGCTCTACGCAAGCGGATCGTTCAGACATCCTCGGAGCCAACAGCAGCTCCACTGATGTTGCAGATACACTATACAGTCATGCCAAAAAATATTGAGTTTTGGGAATGGAATCATAATGTTCTGGAGTAAAGTATCTGCTGGATTCCACGTTCCAGTGTTGTATATTGCATTAAGGGCGCTTGATTCGCACCCCCCCCTGTTTGTATGAGAGTGTTGTTCTGACTTCATTTGTCCCTGTTCTGTAAAGGTCGCCAGCCTAGTAGATAGAATACAGCGGGTCATCAATATATACTGGTAAACCAGCTGCCTATTTATATGGCAGTTCGTGTGCATCAGCAAGTCTGAGGATGTCATAAAGCGAATGTATCTTCTTTATTCTGTTGTTCCTATACCATGAGTTTCCTCCCTTCAGATGTTGCTGCTGCTTCTATAAAAAAAAATGAACGGTGAAGTGCCTTCTAAATTATGTTTTGGTCCTTGTCATGCTACAACTACCAGGAAACCGAGTTGTGGACTTGTGGTCTAGTGGGACAACTGTAAAGTAACAAGGTAGCCCCTTTATTTTCCCCTTGGTCATTCTGCTTTACTTCATATTGTGACTAAAAGTACGGCTGCAAACGGAGCGGGCTGCCGCCGCTAACCCGCTGGACTACCCGCGCCGCAATCCCGCGTAAACCCGCGCCGCAAACCCGCAAGACCGGAGCGGGTCGATGCGGCTTGTCCGCGTAGTGCAACGCGCCGCAGCGTCCCGCAAACCCGCAGTGTCCCGTAGTCCAACGACCAACGGCGCCGCAACGTTCGCAGACCTAGAGGAAGAGTACTGCGAGCCACGCGCGAGCGCGTCGGATCCATGAAGTGCGGCTACTTCGTCGGACCCGTCTCACTCCCAGCCAGCGGTGGCTGGTGGGCGTGTTCCTGACGCACTGTGGGTCGATAGCTCGCTGCTGGAGGCGGCGGCCGCCGGCGTGCCGATGCTGATGTGGCCGCTGGTGTTCAACTAGTTCATCGAGGAGAGGCTGGTGACGGACGTGCTCAGGATCAGGGGGCGGGTCTGGAGCGGGGCGCGGAGCACGAGGTGCGAGGAGAGGGAGCTCGTGCCAGCAGGGGCGGATCCAGCGGGGGGATCATACCGAATCGGTCAAGCTATCAGTAGGTCTTAAATTTTTAGACAAATTTATAGTGCCAGAAAAGTGAGACTTAAGATCGGCGGCGGCGGTGTTGTTCAACCCCCTAAAATATTTCTGAATCCGCCCGCTCGTGCTAAGCGTGAATCACGAGCCATGGCGGCAGAGGCCTCGTCTTGTTCGTCCCCGCCTGGGGGTCGTCATCGACCATGGTCCATCGATGGGTTGGGTTTGCGGTCGACGTCTCAGCGATGCACAGCGCGGTGTTCTGGTCGAGACTCACAAGGTATGCGGCGCTACGCGGGCTATTGCGAAGCCCGCAAAACGTATGCTATACTGGTCTTTCTTTTATATCCTGGAGCGTGTCTCAAAAATTCACTCAACTGAAATACTGAATATAGCACGGCGAAGCTGTCCAGCTCCACGTTTTTTTTTGAACGATTAGCGCCAGTCCGGACGGCCTGCAGCTGTTCTGTTTCCCCTTAGGGCCAGCGACAACGTAGAGGATGGGTGGGGCGCGGCAGCATTGCGCAGAGGACAGGAGCACACGTGTTTCGGGATGGAGCATCTGAGCGCGGATCTTGGCGCCAAAGTGGAGCTTGCCGGCGATGCGAAGCTATGCAGCGCGCCGCACGGAGCTGGGCGATGATGTGTAGAGGGCTGGATGGGACGCGGTGGCGGCTTAGAGAATGGGAGGGGAAGGGCGGCAGCGGCGTGCAGAGGGCGGGGTGGGCGTGCGGCGATGACGCAGTGGGTGGGTGGGGCAACGGCCGCGGCGGCGCGCAGACGCCCTCGGGGCCCACCGTTGCAACATCGGCAATGTACTAATGAAACATGCCTAGATTACTATTGAAACATGTAAAAAAAAGTTGCTGCAACATCGGTGATGTACTACTGAAACATGCCCAGATTATTGTTGAATCATGTATAATATTGTTGTTGCAACATCCGTAAACACAAAACCTGCAACATGTGCGTGAAGCACTTGCAACATGCTCTTGAAACAATTGAAACATAGGATTTCAATATAGGCTTTCAGAATAACATCTCCTTACAATACAACACCTGCAGCATGCGCTAGAAACACCTGAAACATTCAAAACATAGGCTTTTCAGAGTAACATCTCCTTCAGCTTGGGCGAACGGAGGCTCATTAACACGCAAAGCTCGACGGTGGTGTGTGGAGCTCACTGGTGGCACGGATGGCAGTGGCGCGGATCTCGGCGGCGTGAAGCTCGTCGGCAACGCGGAGCTCGGTGGCGCGCAGAAGGCGACAACACGCAGAGGACAGGGTGGGGCGGGCGCGACGATGCAGAGGACGGGTGGGGGCGGCGTTGTGCAAAGGGTAGGGTGGGGCGCAGCGACAAGTGGTGGCAGCGGCGCTCAGACGACACACGTATTTCAGAACGGAGCGTCCGCCCGTTCGGATGCTCGGGCAGTATCATTATCATTTTTTTCGTCTAGCTACTAGCTAGATTTGCCGGCCGAAAAATGTAGAGCCTAACAATCAGCCTGACGATGAATCGGATCGGAACAAAGGAAGCAAAAAAAAAAACCACAAATAAGCGTCGAGTTGAAGGTGCCGGCCTGACGAGCTGGCCTTTCTGATGCATTTTTGGTCCACGTCACTGCGCAGGAGTATCATCTCTCAATTTGCGACGGTAATGAAGGACCGGTGGCCGGCGCCCACCGCAATGCACCGCACTTTTTTTCGATTGATTGAAAAGGACCGACAATTGCAACTATATGCACGCGTTTGGATACCACACGTTACGCACCCACCCACCCTAATCCCCTTCTTCTTCCACGCTTTTGAAGAAGAGCCCTCCTGTGGGCGGCCGCAGCCCAACCGCCGAGGAAAACCGCCGGCGGCAAAGTGTTAGTGCGGGCGGGCTTCGCCATCGCCCCCGGACAATCGCACCACTCGCTTACGGCCAGAGCTCGAAGGGGCTGAGACTGATGAGTCACTGACCAGGTAGTCAGCGAAACGGAGAGGAAGTGCTGTCCCGCTGTCCGGGGTACGCGGGGTTCGGTAGCGCAGGGGTGGAATCGTTGGCACCTGACGGGTGATGACATTCGTAGCCAAAACTCGCAGGTAGCCTCCGTCCCGAAAAGAGCATCGTTTTTGACACATCTCGTTTGCTGTTTTATTCGAATTTTTATATAAATATTATATATTTTTGTTATGACTTATTTTATCAATAAAATATTTTACTAATAATTTATTTATTTTATAATTTATATAAAATTATTGAATAAGACGAATGGTCAAACGACGACGTGTGTGAGTCAAAAACTTCACTCAGATTACGTTCGAATCATCGATTTCTTTTCTCCGTTCCCACACACAGTGGGTCCAACTGTCTCAAAGTCTGCGCACATGGGTCCTACTTGATTTATTGATGCCCTTTTCCTTTGCTTCCGAATCATTTCTTGGCTCTCTCTTCTACCGCCCACTCGAGAGCTTATCTTATCATCAGACGAGAGCGACTCGGTGGTAGAGATCGTAATGGGAAACGTAACCTCCCCCACACAATCCGCATATAGAGATGAGATTGGGTAAAAACTAAAACCAGCATACTCGGTTGTAATTTGTAAAGCAGGGTTTTCAATTTCGATTTTGGAAAGTTTTCGACCACCTTTGAAATTACTGAAATTCATGAAATTTTGACGAAATATTTCTAAAGACTTATACGTGAAGTATGATTTTTTTAAAAAAAAACAAGTTAGATCTAAACAAAATATTAGCATTACTTATGACTACACATATATTAAGTAGAAAAATACGTAACATAAACAATAGAAAATATAGGTATAAAGTTATATACCACATGTATTAGTGCAATATGAAATTTCTTTCAGTCACAACATAAATTACCGATAATCGTGATATTTCAGCTCGCAAAACTTCAAACCTTGTTGTAAAGTCAAATTGCGCAGTCATAAGATCCGTTAAACTAAGATTAGGGGGTAGGTATATTGATATTTTTTTATTAGCAGTCTAATATACAGTGCCACACTATCTTATCAAGTTAACTTAATAGTTACCTATAAAACCTCCAATATTGCATATGGAACAGGCAAATGTTGTGATTTACTAGAGGTGGACCCAAAATTCGAAGAACGTGTATTCAAATTTCAAAAGATAAAAAAACATTGATTCAACCATATTTTTTAGGGGACAATTGGCCACGGGACATGTCAAATGAGCACCGACGGCTGGTGGACACCCCAAATCCGCAAAGTTGCTGCTGGACACTGTGTTTCCACTTTGAATTGCCAGAAGACACCGCGTCCCGGTTTCAGCCAAGAAAGGTGATGATTTGCCCAAATTGCCCTTGGCCCAACTGGTCCGCCCATTCTTCTTCCTCCCCTTTCTTTCTCTGTGCTCTCCGCCGTTGAAGGAGAAAGCGGAGGAGAGGCCGCCGGAAGAAGGCGAGCTCACGCGAACGCTTCACAAAAAGTCATGAATTTGGGGCAAAGGAGGCGCCGAGCCCGTTGTTCCCCTCCCGGAGGAGGCTTCCGGCCATGGTGGCGCCATTACATGCACCCATGAGGCCATGGCGAAGCCGCGAATGCGACGCTGCGCCCATGATAAGGCCGGCGAGGCTGATCCGCGCGTCTGCCGCGAACTAAGATTAGTCTTGCCGCGAGGACGCAGCGGGCGCTGCTATCACTGCAGCAGCGTGCCAGCGAGGCCGCGACGACCGGTTGGTCGCGCTTGGCGAGGCCGCGTGGCGGAAACCACTCGCGGCTAGCAGTCTAATATACAGTGCCACACTATCTTATCAAGTCAACTTAATAGGTGGTCCGGCCTATAAAACCTCCAATATTGCATATGGCTAACAGGCAAATGTTGTGATTTATGGTGCGGTCAGACGGAGGAAGGGCGCAGAGGTGAGCTCGACCCAAAATGGGTGGGTTCGCTGGGAGGTCAGCTCAACGAGGACGTCGTCATGCGGATGGAATTCACCGGTTGGGCCAAAGGCAATTTGGGCAAAACTTTTCTTGGTCAAACCAGGCATGGCAATTCAAAGTGGACCATATTTTTAACATGTATAATTAGTTATTTGGCATGACCCTTAAATTGTCCCTACTAACATGTATAATTAGTTATACCCTTAAATACTATTGATCAACAAAAATAATAGGTATCCAATGAATACCATTAAATACCCCTTGAGCCTGCCCTGAATTTACATGTCAAAGTCTTCTCATAGTTCTAGTTACAATTTACAAATGTAATTATTTCGCAGAACATCTCTTTATCTCACCTCTCTCACCATCTCCTCCATAAAAAAAAAACTACATGGCATCGGACAGAGACAACCTATAAAAACTCTTATATGTAGCAACATACTTCAAGTGTATATTTTAGAAAAAATAATTTAAAATGGACCAATCTTTTTCAGCTTTACTACGCACCTATTTAACTCTTATATGTAGCAACATACTTCAAGTGTATATTTTAGAAAAAATAATTTAAAATGGACCAATCTTTTTCAGCTTTACTACGCACCTATTTTTGTTTAACCTTCCATCCTCGTAATGACCAAGTGCGCGACACTGTACACACGCGCACCATGTAGCAAAACCTGTTTCCGCGAACACATCTTTTTCCCTTTTGGTTTTGGTGGCCGTAGCACATGCGCCCGGGCGTCTGGTTAACCATCGCAAAAGGCGTCCTCGCCACAGCGGCGACGCGTCCCCCACACGGCCCACACCCAGGCTTCCACTTGCCGCCGCGCCCGCACCTCCCCCCCTCGTTTTCTCCACTTCCCCTGCTCTGCACCTACGCATCGCCGCCTCCTCTGTCCAGTGTCCACTAGTCCAGTCCAGGCTCCAAAGTCTAGTCCTCTGTCCTCGTCTTCCTCCCGTAACCACATCGTCCCTATCCGCAGCGACCGTTCGCCGCGCCGCGCCTCGAGGCCCGCTGATCCGACCGACCGACCTCCACCGCCATGGCTCCCCTGCCCCGCTCGGCGCGCCTCCTTCGATCCGCCGTCGGGCGGCTGAGGTCGCCACCGCCGGCCCGGGCCTTCTCCAGCGCCGCGGCGACCGAGACGGGGTTGGGGAACGGACGCGAGGCCGTGATCGCCGCCGCCGCCGTGGCGGTGGCTGGGACCGGGCTCGGGCTGTGGCTGAAACCGCCGTCGCTTGCCGACTCCGGCGAGGCGCCCGGCGGTCAGATCTCGGTCGCCGGCGCTGGCGCCGGCGCCACCGAGGCGCGGGAGGAGAAGGGATGGTTCCTGTTCGCAGGTGAGCCGTGAGCGTCCTCCCTTTCCCGTTTGCTTCCTCCTGATGCGCTGTCTCTCTGTCTCCGTGTTTGCTGAGGGGTTTGGTGGTCACCGCCCGCGCCGCCGCTGTTGTTTAGTGTGGCTTGGCTTATTGTTTTGCGTTAGGATTTTGGAGCTTTGCTCTGTAAGACCGTAAAGCTACACCTACAAGAGGTGCCAGGTCATCTTCCCGAAGGGTGTCGCTTCTACTGATTTTGATCGCCTGCTTGCTTGAATTGCGACCTGTACGGTGCTCCACTGCTCCCCCGGCTGTACCGATCCTGTTGTAGATAGGAGTATGTGATAAGCCACGTTTGTTTTCCCCCCGGCTGTACCGATCCAATTGTAGATAAGGAGTATGTGATAAGCCAATTGGCAGATTCCAAACTATACATGACACCCCGGGGGGGCACCGTTCAGTAAAGTCTGTTACGATGTCTGCTTTTTGATCAACAGCACGTAAGCATGCACTGCTTGATGAGTGTAGTGTTGCTTAATTGTCTGAGTGCATCGTATTTATCTTCTTCAAGCTTTGCAAATTTGAGTGGTGTGTTGATCTGAACACAATCCTATCATTTTGTCCCCTCTTTAATCTACTCTCTCTACAGACTCATTCCGCAGAAGGGTGTTCTTTAACTATGAGAAGAGGATACGGCTTCTCAGCCCTCCTGAGAAGGTAATGCTTGAAGTGCTGCATTAAGGGCTTCTGGGAAATTCTATTGAGTTTTGGCATACCGAATTTCTAACAATATTTATATTTATGAATAGATCTTTGAGTACTTCGCATCTGTGAGGAACCCAGAAGGGGAAGTTTACATGTTGCCTGCTGACTTGATGAGAGCAGTAGTCCCTGTTTTTCCTCCATCAGAATCCACCATAGTTCGTGAAGGAAGATTAAGGGGGGAGCGGAGCCCTGGAGAGTTGCATTGTGCTCCATCGGAGTTCTTTATGCTGTTCGACACAAATAGTGACGGTCTCATCTCCTTTGCCGAGTAAGTGGAATGAACTTTAGAAAAAAATGTTGTCCCAAATCATTGTATTCAGAATATTGAACTTGGGATTTGTACTCCTGCATAAATACTCATCATTTGCTGTAAGAAAGCCTTGAAAATCTGTAGGTGTTTATGTAGCACCTGTTCAGGATAACTGATGTAGCGTATATATTAATAATTCATGATAAGACGCCGTAGCTATGATGCATATATTGAAAGTCATGGTGCGATGCATTAGCCATTTGCCATCTGATGCATTGTTGCACAGACATTATATTATTGGTTTCTAAATTGCCTCTGTCGTATTGACAGGTACATCTTTTTTGTGACATTGCTCAGCATTCCTGAGTCAAATTTCACTGCGACCTTCAAAATGTTCGACGTTGACCACAGCGGGTGAGTTCTTATCCTACCATTGCTCTAAGTCTTGACAATAGGTTCCCCGCCCCTGCTGTAATGTATCTGTTGACCAGAAATTTCTCAATCTGTACACTTCTATTTGGTTTTGACAAATGATATAAAATAAATTTGATGGTTTGAAAGGAAATTTAATTCTTCAAGTCCTGTTTGCTTCAGTTTGAAATTTCTTTTCCTGTGTATACATATGTTGTTTAGTGATGCTGGTAAAGGTATGTTCTTATGTACTCATGCATAAACAAGAATACAGTTAATATGGTCTTGTTTGTGCTGTATTGTTGTTTACTTGTGATCATTGCATGCAGTTAATTTATCTCGCCCAGAAAAAGACCTGCTCGTTATGAGCATGTTCAATCATCTGACTTGTTTGTTGATGGTAAAAGAAGGGTATGAACAAATTTTGGCCACCTTCTTCACTGTAAATTTGTTGTTCTCATCTGGGACATGATATTTTTTCAGGGTGATAGACAGAGAAGAGTTTAAGAAAGTAATGGCACTGATGCGGTCCTTTAACAGACAAGGGTCCACTCATAAGGATGGTTTACGTATTGGACTTAAAGTTGGCCAGCCTGTGGAAAATGGTGGGGTGGTTGAGTACTTCTTTGGGAGTGATGGGAATGAACCTCTACACTGTGACAAGTTTTCAAAATTTTTGAAGGAATTGCATGACGAGGTGATTTGCTTCTTTCATACCCTGACCCAACATGATAATTTGTCCAGAAAAGTTGACCCTGACTTTACATGGAAGAAAAATGCATTTATGTTTTATTCAAACACCTTTTTCATAGCATACATAGACATATGTCTGCCTACCAACTAGTGGACTTCTTTTTCTAATTGTCTCAGTAATTGCTATAGATTTATGTTGACTTTATCCCTTTTAAGTAGGCTATTGAAATTTTTCCAAACTTAACTGAAGTTATTAAAATGACACACCATGTATTACTAGAGCTTAGATGCACTGTGTTCTAAAAGCCATCTGCTTCTCTTTTCATTCTACACAATTTATTTATCTGATACTACTTATTTATTTTGCATTCTACACAATTTACTTCTGAATATTTCATACTATACTTGTATTCAGATTATTAGACTGGAGTTCAGTCATTATGCTGTCAAGTTGTCTAAAACAATACCAGCAAAGGATTTTGCATTGTCCATGGTTGCTTCTGCTGACATGAACCACATCAACAAGCTGCTCGATAGAGTTGATAGTTTGGTCAAGGAGCCAGATCTGAAGGACATACACATCACCTTTGAGGTATGACTTGCCTTCTTGATAATTCTACTCAGTTTATCTCTTATTATTCTCATGGATGTTCATTTGCAACTTCAGGAGTTTAAGGCATTTGCTGACTTGCGACGAAGATTGGAGCCACTGTCGATGGCTATCTTCGCTTACAGGAAAGTGAATGGGTTATTGACAAAGGAGGATCTAAAACGTGCGGCGCAACACGTAAGTTTTTTTTTACCAAGTTTGGCATGCTTTTTTATGTTATTTTGCTACCGCAAATCTAAATTAACTGCTAAGACAATGTTGACTTCTGTTAGCTGACTAATCACTGAGAAGTCAGTTTTGACTTGCTTGACCTAGTGGTCAGCATAATTTGTTTTTTGAAAACCAGGTCACCGAGCTTCTAACTGATGTCTAGCTATCTAATTTTTCATTTTGGTTTGCCTTGTAGGTTTGTGGGGTCGACTTAACTGATAGAGTGGTAGACATCATTTTCCATGTATTCGACGCAAATCAGGATGGGAACCTGAGCTCGGAAGAGTTCTTAAGAGCATTGCAAAGAAGAGAAACTGATATTCGTCAACCAACAATACCAGGTCCATTGGGGTTCTTGTCTTGCTGGTTCAGCGGTAGGAAGTGTTCTTCACTTCAACAGGTGGTTCTCTGATTGAGGCCCTATTTGATCCTCACTGTATCCATCATTCGCCCTTTGATGGTCATCTCCCGGTACGTATAAGTTTGTTCTACCCCTGTTATGATATCCGGTCTTAACACTGTTTTCATCGATGTTCAGGCGCAGAAGGTAATCACCAAGCAGTGCATTGCTGATCGTTACAACGACTTTGCTGTATATGTCGTCTTGGTGGCCGAAGCTTGCCTAGCAGTAGCAGCTGTAATTGTAAATAGTGTCCTGTGCAGCCCTAGGACTGAGTGATACCTTGTGTTATTCTCACGTGTAAATTAAACTCCATATGACTTCAATATATGAAACCTTGTCAAATGTCTTCCATTTAGCTGTATTTTTTGGTCGAAAGGGTTAGACTCACTTTTACCGGAACCATAGCGTTAGAGTGCCAAACAGACCAACCAGGTAGCAGGCAATAATCAGCAATTAACGTCAAGACAAAAGGTTTATAGCTTTTTTTTAGAGCTGTATGAATAAAAAAAAAGTTCAAATCCCATTGACATAATAATGGGAATTGGGAGAAAGAGGAATTACACAGGCATATTCATGTGTTCCATAATCCATCAGAAAAGAAATAGCAATTTTTAAGAAATAGCAATTTTTAGTTTAAATCTACAGTTCAATTTTTCTATAAAATAAAATTGTTTCCGATTCACCAAACTATTCTAGATATAAGAGTACCAAACGGGCAACAATCAGGCATCAATATCGTGAGCGAAAACAAAGATTTATAGTTTATTTTTTTCATCCAAAGATTTATAGTTTCTTTTTCATCGAATACGTATTAGACAGTATAATGCACACAAAACAAACGCACACCCACCGTTGCTGCTTAGATACAATCACTCCTGTTACACAGCATCTCCAAATGGGATAATCCATGGGCGTCTTAAAATACACCAGAGATTACAGGTTTATTTTCACGCATGAAAGTTAAGCCCCCTGCAATGACCGTGACCGCAGCAGCATTTAACCGATACCACGATTTTACCAAGTAGAGGTGTTTAACAATGCACCAATCTATTTACACAGCAGCCAAGTAAAGGTATTTAGCAATGCACCAATCTATTTACACAGCAGCACCCCACATGGAGAGGAAGCACGACATATTTACAATTGTTCCTTCCCATCACAGGATCCGTGGGACACCGTGCACATGTTTGACCCGTATTAGCCCGTTGCCACCAGGCACACTGACACGACACAAAGAACAATATGTACAGACATCTCGTTCTTGCAAAACTATGTACAAGGCGACCTGCTCTAGTCAGGCACCACTTGCTTTACAGTTATAGGTCGCCGCTGTGGGAGTGCTGGTCGTATCACTCCGGCCGCACACTGATCAGGTTGGGGAGAGCGACCAGCCGGAGCTTATCGATCTCGCTTGCCGTCACCCTGCAGGACTCCAGGGATAGGGAGCGCAGGTTTTGGAGCGGTTTCAGGTGGTGGAGGCCCGAGTTGGACACCCGGGAGTTGGACACGTTCAACGACACCAGCGCAGTCAGGCCTGTCAACAGATGCAACTATTGAGACGAGAATGGTCCTGCTGATAAATGCACATGGAGAGAACAGCGAAAATGTACCAGAGATCAGCTCTAGGGTTTTGTCTGTGAGGTTGCCATTTTGAGATAGGTTGAGTAACGTCAGAGCTTTCAGGTCCTTGATGTTCTTCACACCAGCATCCGTAATCAACCCACCACAGACCTCCAGGGACTGAAGATTCTTGAAAACTGAAAAGGCAGTGCGATATTTAAAATGCAGTGAGATTCCTTATTTACAAATGGAAAGAAATTCACTGAATAAAGAAGTGCAATGCTCATGCAAGATGATCACAAAGAATTGCGATGCATTCCATCAAGGTAGTATGCACCAAGAGAAGCTGCTGCATTTTTTTAGCGCTAGCATAGTGTTTTGAGTATGCAAAATACTTACATCTGAAGCAGTTCATGCCAGAATCAGTTATGCGAGCTCCAAATAGGTCAAGGTGTGTCAATCCAGTGAGACCTGCATTAACCAAGTGATCTTAACTAATGCCATGATATCGTTTACAGCGCAAAACATTGCCTAATGACACTGGAAACCTTGCTATGATACAATTTACACGTGAAACAAACCACCACCACCAGAAATGAAAATAAGCTAATCAGAGAAATGACAACATTATAGTTATAAGTGATAAGGTGCTTGTGTTTAAACAAAAACAGTCACAATATATCCAACTAATATGAGAAGCATACTTGTAAGAGATGCTAAACCAGTATCTGTGATTTGGCGATTGTCAAGATTAAGAGACTTCAGTGAGCTCAAGCCAGAGATCTTCTTCAAACCAATGTCAGTAACCAATGTAAAAGAGAGATTGATGCTCTGCAAATTACGTAGACCTGCAGAAACAGACAACTTAAGAACTTTCTTTAAGACAAAATGTGAACTACGATATATTTGTAACAATTTAAAATCATTCTAGTATAACGGGCCACCCTAATGTAATAACAATTTAAAATAGGGAATTGGAAAGGAACATCTATTGAGAGCACATGTTAATTTCATCAAAGGCTGTAGCAACAATGTCAAGGAGGTGTTTGGTTTGAGTAACCATCATAGTCTATATGAGGTGGTGCACCATGAGTTCATCCCGTAAATTTTAGTGGAATCACCCATTCCTCAATTCTTATACAAATTATTAGTTTGTGAGGGATGGGGTGGTGGAGAATCAACCCATTATATTCCAGAAACCAAACAAAAAAGTGAGGGAGAAAATGATGGACCAGCCCATTTCTCAAACCGAACACGCACTAAATTAAAAAGTGATTACACAATCTGAACTGGTCTACCGGTGTGGATTAACAAGAAAAAAAAATGCCAATAATACTAGCATTTCTGCAGGCGTTTTAAACAAACCAGAGAGATGACGAAGTCCATTGCTCCCAACTTCAGTGTCTGAAAGCTCCAGGCTTTTTAGCTGTATGAGGCCTATAGCACATCAAGGAGCAAAGATAAGATTAAAAGATGCTTTGCAACAACAACAGAAAACACAGATTATAGTATCTATTATTAAAAAGAGAATATGTTTAGGATTTCAGCAGAGAGAAATGGTTAATAAGCACAAAAGAGAGTTAAAAGGCAACAGTTTATTCAGTGGTTTTTGTCTTAACCTTTTTCTTAACAAAACACCAGGCAAACACGGAGAAATTGATAATTGCAATTGTAATCTAGAATTTTCCAATGCATTGAACCCTGACCTTTCAGGTGAAATAGACCCTCATCACCAATCTTACATGAGTCCAAGTTCAAGCACTCTAAGCTGATCAAATCTGAAAGGAACATAGGGCATCAGAAAAGAACTAAAAAGCAATTTCCTAATTATGCATGAATCAATACTAAGGGACACCATAATTCTGATGCACTTCTAGAACGATAAATACAAGGATACAATAAGTGTGGTTTTCCATGGTTCCAGTAAATGTTGTGCTTATAGGCTATAGTGCTGCACACAATGTTAGGCCAAAGAGTGCAATACCCTCCTTGAAGATGCCATTCCAGGCTTGCATCTGCTTTTCATCTTATCAGCATTACTTTGCGCATGAAAGAAACAGCACTCCTTTGTTAGGAAAAAGACATGGGTTGATCCAGCAGGGAGGCCCAAGCCCCCACCCCAACTGCTGGAGCACCATGGAGAGCAAGAAGAGAGGGGAGGGAGAAGGAGAAGAGGGGCCAGGGCGCTGGAGGAAGGATAAGGAGATAAGCCACTGGAAAAGGTCTGATTATTTTTCTTAGTCATAGTGATTAGGTTTTACGGAATACTACATCAAAATGCTTTTCCCGAAATATGCAAAACAGTTGTTTCTTAGATACAAATGCTATGGTGAACTAATATAATGATAACGAGTGTATAAAGCTTACCTTTTAAATGAATTAAACATGCATCTGTAATGTGGTTGAACCCTAAATTTAGAGCCTTCAATTTTGTAAGACCTGCAAGGCAATGCCAGTAAATGAGCTAAACAAAATTTGTAGCCTTGAAGGATATGGAATTTAGTGGCATAGACAGACAGCTTGCAGCAAAACTTATGTCTGACCATTAATCCAGACAAGAAAAACAAGGAACCAATCTTGATTTAACAAGATCAGTAATTTGCATCATGTTTACCTTTCAAGTTCTCACAGCCTTCATCGCATATGCCACACCGACTTAGATTCAACAAGACCAACGAAGCCAGTTCTGCAATAGCACAACTCTGAGTCTTAGTAAAGTTTCAGATACCTAAGTGGCTTGGCTTGAAGCTGTTTACACAAACATTGATGAGAAACACAGTCCAGATGGCTACTCTGTGCATTAAGGCATCAACAGATTTGTTCACACAGGGAAAAGAAAAGAGGACTAAATAAATCCATAATTAGTGAGTAGTTCTTCTAAGTTGATGATGCATATGGTCAGCTGTTCGTAGTTGTTAGTGGTTTGTCGTAGGTGTGGTCGCCCTCTTTTGTTAATGGTTTGTCGTAGTTGCTTTGACCAGTTTTTTCTGCTGTTTCAAACCGTGTAGTTGTTTTTCTTCGTAGTATGGAGTGCTCCTCTAGTAGTGGGTCTTGCCGGCTTTTTTAGTCTAGGGGTTGCTCGGTTTTCGGGCCTGGTTTCGCCATAAAAACTGGGTCAATTCTTTTCTTCTAATGATATGTGCTGCAATGCTCCTGCCACTCTTTTGAAAGAAGTACAGTAAGTAGTAACAGCTACATGGCATGGTTAGACTTCATAAAGAAGTACACCCTTGTCAAAAACAAATGCCTACTCCAGCCAACAAGTTTCTTTTGAAAGTAATAATAGAATGACAGAATCAGATTGTGTTCGCCACACCTCAGCAACAAAAGAAAAAAAAAGTTATATTCCTATCCAGCTGTATATGTAGCAGTAACCTGCCCTGATAATAGCAGAAAGCCTGAAAAGGCACTCTCAGGGTATTTAGTCCGACATTTGGGAACTTTTGTGTTGTCTATTCATGCACTCTTAATTGGATCCTTAATCATCTATATAATGACAACTGTGTATGATTGGTGGCACTAGCTTCCATGGCCAGAGCCGCAGAGGGAACACAGATGGGGACTTCTTGAGACTAAATGTAAGATATTTTCACAAAAGTGACAACTGATGGCACAGTATGCCCAGGAAAGATACAAACCAGATATAACCTCCAAACAAGCTGCAGTAACTGAACAGCCCTCCAGGTTTAGATGACCTAGCTTGTGCAGACCTGAATTGAAAGACCCAACAACTAAAAGCAATGAGTTACTGCTAACTTTAATGAAACTTTCATGGTTACTGAACAACTAAAATCAATGAGTAGTCAAAACTAAAAATACAACTACCCTACACAAGGGCATGTACAAGAACCAAATATTATAGTGAAGAAAATGAAGAAATTTATTCGTGTTTCTTGGTGTTACCCCTCAGATAAGAAACACCAAAATCAGAGATTTTGCAGGAAGAGAGCTGTAGCTCTCTCAAATTCGTGAGATCTACATAAGGAAATGCTATTTGTTAGCCTTGGAGATCATTGTAAGTTACAATATACTGATATGCACATTATAACAGTTAGCTAAGGAGAAGTACTACCTGATAAATATTTCATGTCTGAATCTGTGATGCAATTACAGTATCTCATATTCAATTTTTCCAGTTTTTTCAAGCCTGCATCACAAAGTTTGTCATTGCATCCGGTGGAATTTAAGTTTGAATCATTAATGTAATGGAGAATGAGCTGAATTCACATCATAGATGTATACAGGTTTCTCCCCCTCTAGTGACTTGGAACATGCAAAGATAATCGTTATTCACGTTCAAACAGCATTGTCTTGGTAACAAACATTAACTGGCACTCTGACGAGCTTAGAAAGAAAGGGATACCTTTTAAATGTACAAGCCCACCGTGAATCTTTGGACATCGCTCGAGGTCTAAGTTTACCAAATTAACTAAGTTTGCAAAGGCTTTTGCTCCTTCAGCAGTAACAGCAGCACATTTCTTTATGCTCAGCGATGTCAAGTTTGAAAAGCCTACAAAGTTAGGAGATTATTGTGGCACAGAAACAAAAACAAGATCTCTAATACTATACTAGGTTGACAAAACAATATCATACAGCTGACAGCAAACTCAGCTGTTGTGCTATCAGCGTAACACTGACCCGATAATGTCTTGAGTCCATGTTCTGAGATTTTATCACAATAATCGCATGCCAAACTTTGCATGCTCGAGCAATCTTTAAGAAGATTGAATCCACTATCAGTCACATCCGAGCAAGAGAGGTCAACAGATAGCAAGGACTGCCCTTGAGAAGCCACTACTTCCATCCAAGCATCAGTAACTCCAGGGTAGTCTCCTAGACAAATATCCTGTGAAGAGATGTCCCATGTTAGGTCCTGCTCAGCGTAGTGCGCGACAGTAAGCTTAAGACTAGGCTATGCCGGACCCTACAGAACAGTACTCCCACCATTCCAGATAATGTCGTTTTGGCTTTCCTAGGTACATAGTTTTTATTATGTATCTAGACATCGCGTTGCTATGTACCTAGAAAAACTAAAATGACCTATAATTTGGGACAGAGGGAGTAGTAGATATCATGGCCTATACATCATTGTTCATATTCCAAAGGAAAGGCAATGTTATATTATAACATTCCTTAAATTTCCACACAACGGTGGAAAATTCCATGTGTTTAAGTTCACCTAGAATGGTGTGCCAAACAAGAACAGAATCATCACCTGCAAAGCGCAATCACGGAAAGCCCCAAGCGATGCCTCCGTGAGGCATCCACATTCCACCAGCTCATTGAATATCTGCTGACTAAGATCTCTGGGCAGCAGGGAGAAATCAGAATACCTATTTATGTCCTGCAATCATCCCCATCAATTCAGCCAAGAACAAGCACACTCCTTCAGAAACTGAAAATCAAACAAAGGCAATAAAACACCTTGCAGACTTTGGCCACACACAGCTCCACAAGTGACGGGCACCGGCCTGGCGCTGGGCCCTGTGTTCTCCGCTGCACATCGGCAGAGTTGCTGCGGGGCAGCGTGTGCAGCAGCCACTTGAAGCTTCCGCTCTTGGAGAACCTCGCACTGTAGAGATCATCCTCTTGGACCAACTGGCCCCTCTTCCTCGAACAGGCACTACCCATGATGTCACCGCTTCCAGCGTGCGCTGAACTTAAACCAATCAATCACTCCTGGCCTCGGTGGCTCAGGGAAAAAACACAACAATATGAGTTGTGATTGATGATTGTCAGATTTTTTTTTATGATCTTATCATCCACTCCCCGCGTGATTGTGACTAGGGACAGACTTCACTTTCTCCGTCTCCATCCTGCAGGCACCATAACAAATTCGCACGACTTTCAGAGTTTGTTTTTTTTTTTTTACTCACTGCAGCAAACAAGCTCGCAAGGCATAGCTAGACTAGATGCAGTTCCACGCAATCAAGCCGCTTACAAAGTTACAACGACACGCTGCCAGTCCTAAATGCAAATCAACCCCACCAGGATAAATTGATCCTACTCCTATATCACAGTAAACGCAGCCATCGCCTAGGGAGAAAGCAAAGCATAAATCCTGCGAGCGTACGATTGTCCATTGAAACACAAATAGCCCCAAGATAACTAACTGCATCAAATGTTCTTCACAAATTACCACACAAATTACCACTAGAGTAAGAAAAACAGAAGAATGCCCAAAATCCCAGCCCGCAATCACCAAATCAAGAGGAAAATTCGCAAGCACTGCAGCGGCACGCTGAACAGATCAACAACCACCGAAAAATCGGCCCGAACTAACAGGAAATAGAATAAAACTACCTGATCGGATATGCGATTCTCACCGGGAGGCCGCTGAACCAAGGAGCCTGGGATTCCAGCTAAAATAAGCTAGCGCCTCGAATCATCATCGCATCTAATCTAGATTAGACGAGCCCACGAGAGAGAGAACGGGGAGAGAGAGCGACAGGGGACACGAAGGGAAGGAGGGAGAGGCGGAGAAAAAAGGTTAAAGCGAGAGTCGGAGCAGCGCGTGAGTTCCACGTGTCGTCAGTAGACACTTAGCTAGCACGACAGAATTCCATGACTGACATGCGGGGTATGGACTGCGTTGGTCTAGGTGTCAGTGATTACGTTTGCGAATGGGTTGGTGGCTGATAGGGATGTGGGGGGATGGGGGCCACACCACAGGGAAGCGAAGAGGATAAGGCAAAGGAAGAGAGAGAGAGGACCCGGGGCGCAAGGCACGGCAGCACCGCAGCAGCCCACGGGTTGCGCTGCCGGTTTTGTGGGCCCGTGGCCGCTGGTCCGTCCTATGGCCTACACGTGGGCCCCGCGGCTTTACTGGTTCAGTTACGATTTTAATTCGTCTGTGGCGTAGTACGTGTACGATTTGTAGCGTCCAGCCTCTTGGGAGGCGTATCGTATCGTGGATTATTTACTGCTGGCTGGTTTGGTATGAAAAAAAAACACTGTTCTTAACTGGAAATTTACAATCATTTACAAGCAAGCGAACAGGCTCGCTGCTCCTCCCGCGATCGAGTACCCACATTGTACGGTTAGCGTACTACCTGCATTTTCTCATTTTCTCTATGGTTGCATTTGCACATGCACCCTGCCTTGTGTATCATTTAGGATTTTCTATACAGATAAATGTGTTATCTCTCGGCCTCAAAATAAATCCCCATCTTATATTGCTAGATGGAACAATACAAATTCAACACGATTACTTGCAACATGAGAGCTTTGATTACTCTGTTGCATTTTTCTTTTAAAAAAAGTCTCACAATAGTCCTCCCTCCTTTTTTTTTACTTGTAAAGCAGGCCATTTGAAATCTTAACTAATACGGTGTATTTTGTTAAAAAAACAACATTTTAAAAAACCATGATAGTTAAGTAAAAATATAATACACTAGAGATTTTTATCTAAAATGAATAAAAGACCATGAAAACTGTTCCGATACACATCTTATAAAAAATTGCACTAATCTTAAATCAAGCAAGGGATTAATTAACCATTCTACTCAATTAATTTCCTCCAAATTTCGCATGGGACCAACCCAAGCATGTCTAGCCGAACTATACAAATCTCATACTTCTGATATAGTTCTTCGTAGTCAGAAATGTGAAACATGAGTACATGACTACTTTCCTCGTTCCTGAAACAATTACATGTTGTAGGCTACTAACAGTCTTTTTTGCAAATGCCAATACGGCTCATTGTTACTACCGCTACGGCAACCCCCAGTGCAGACTAGACGTCCGCCGCCACTGTACCGCGTCCGGCAAACAAGGCAAGGGAGACGGTCCGCAGGAGAAGAGGCCACCACGACCCACGAAGCTGAACCCGCACGTCTTCGGCCCAGAATGGCGTAACCAGTGAAGCACTTCGTCAAGCTTGAGTGCGTGTGTGCGTCGATGTATAAGAGTTGAGCTTTGTCTTGTGAAAGGGGTATGAACTGAGTTGTAACAAACCTCCTGAACACTAAGATTCATTGTCTGAACCTCACCTATGCTCTGCTTCCCTCCGCCCTTGCTCTGATCTTCTGTTCCCCTCCTCGGCTACTAACAAAATTGGTATCCAGAGCCATCGATTTCTCGGGTTTCCATCTTCCTCCTCTCCACCGTTTCGACCCGGCATCATAATCCTCGTCGGCAGGTTGATTTCCGGCTTCACTCCGGTGTCGCCGTCGAAATCCTATAGGTCTGATCTGAGGTTGGTGTGATCAACGGTGGCGGTGTGAGCAATCCACTCTGGAACCCCATGAAATCTTCCACGACCACTTCACCCGACTCCGCAAAGGGCTGGGTGCGATGGATCCCAACTTCAAGATGCTTCTTGACGAGATCAAGGTCGTGCAGACGTCCCTCACCAACATCGATTCCAGACTCTCCACCCGCATCGATGTCGTCGAGCACGCCATCGCGGGCCGTTTTGACAAGCTAGAGGGTGCCACCCAGGTGTTCGACACTTGGAAGCCCGAGGTTGACGCATCGATGGCAGAGCTACGCGCGGAGATCGGCGCGTTCCGCCAGACCGATGAGTCGGTGGAGCGGATCCGCGAGGAGATGACGGCACTCCGCAAGATCGTTAGCCGCATCGCGCTCGAATCATCTACTGTTGCACCGACGGGGGTGCTGCCGCCACCGCTCGCGTTTCCTACGCCAACAACGCCCGGCAGCTCCATCATCCGCCCGTTAGGGCACGACGTCGAATGAAGTCACCGAGGAATGGGTTTTGAACTCAAATCCCTAGTCAAGGGTACGCAGTTGAATCCCCACCCCATTCCCCTTCCCAAATTGCATCGCTCTCTCTCTAGTTCGGCGCTGGTGACCATGGGTGCAGGGGATTTGGGTGGTGACCATGGCGGGTGGCATGGGGGAACTGACTATCATGAGCCGTGGCCACCTTGGGAAACTAATCACTCGGGTAACAAAATTCCCAAGATGAATTTCCCAAAATTTATGGCGAAAATCCTAGGCTATGGATCACTTGGTGTGAGGACTACTTTGATTTATATTCTATCGAGCCTGTCGTGTGGATTAAGTGTGGGACGATGAACTTTGTCAATTCATCGCCTGCCGCTCGCTGGTTACGGTCTTTAGATCCCCAAGTCAAGAGGCTTCCATGGAAGGAGTTATGTTAGTTAGTCCTAGATCGCTTTGGGAAGGCTCGTTATGAAGCTTTGGTTAGGCAAATGTTTAGTATCCTTCAAATCTCTACTGTTCAGGACTACATTGATCGATTCGCTGGGTTGATCGATTCGTTGGTAGCATATGGTCGTAGTAATGATCCAGCTTTCTTTGCCATGCGTTTTGTTGATGGGCTCAAAGATGAAATTCACAATGTTGTGCATACGCAATGTATCCAAACATTCGATATTGCTAGTGTACTTGCTTTGCTGTAGGAGGAGCTGCATGACCCTAGCAAGAAAAAAGGGCTTCGCCGACCTGATTCTTACTGTCGGATATCTATATCCGGGTATCCGAGCCAAAAGATTAATGAGCGTCACGTCGGCTCATCCGATGGTTAAGGATGCAACTGTGGCCTCGTTCGACCCCCAGGGGCTAGGCCACGCCTCGTCCAACTCCGAGGACGAGGTTTCCACCTCGTCCGACCCCAAGGCATGAGCTCCGACTCTAAGGATGAGATTTCCGCCTCGTCCGACCCCAAGGCGTGGGCTCCGACTCCGAGGACGAGGTTTCCGCCTCGTCTGACTCCAAGGCGTGGGCTTTGACTCCTCCGACCCCAAGGCGCGAGCTCCGACTCATTCGGTCCCACGGGGAGGGCTCCGCCTCGTCCGACCCCCGAGGGTCAGATTCCGTCTCGCCCGGCCCCCAGGGCGAGATTTCCACCTCGCATGTTCCCTAGGGGTCGGATTTGCTATTGGACAAAAGCAGTGGCCCCAGGGTGGGACTCAAACCGCCTCAACCACTACGGTGTGGAGGCGCACGCCCAAGAGCACGTCTCGGGCGCGTACTGATGCGACTAGCGGTCACATTAGGCCTTGCTGGGAGACACACGTCGCCCACCGCGTCAACAGGCTAGCACTGTGCTGCTAACTCTCTGTCTGACCATCGTCCAACGTCAGTCGACCGGCATTAGTTGACTGACACCGTACCGCCAAACCCCTGTATGGCCTCTGTCAGGGGATCCTTTGACCATTCCGTTCGCTCCGATGGGATGGAAGACAAGAACAGCGCACGACGCCCGTACGTATGCTGCAGCGGCCAACAGAACCCCGGTGCAACGCCGCTGCCACCATGATCTACAGGGTCAGCGGGACCCATGCGAAGAGGAGGACGGCACACCTCTCGGGAGCCTTATTTCTCTTTCTTTTTCCCTCTTCCCTCTCTCGGTCTCTAGTATCATGTTCTCTCCCCTTGGTCTATAAAAGGGAAGGCAGGGCACCGTTCAAGAGAGATCGATCGACCGATAGATCGAGCAGTAGAAGTATCGAGCAATCGAACCATAGAGACTTGGGAGCTCCTCCCTCTCTCGTCAGTTTGTAACCCCTGTAACAGAACCGACCAATTATACGAAATTAAGTAAGAAAATCATCCGCCAGAGCAGATAATTTAGCAAACTTAAGCCCGTATAACCCGGTAGTCCGTGAAATCACAAAGGATTTCAAACCAACTCACATCCC